CTTAACTGGGTCAGGGCTTCATTTCCTGATTGAATGGTGCGGGATGCATTCCTGGTAGAAGAGCAGGCAACTTCGGCTGGGCTGCGGCCTCCTGATGAGAGGTTAATGCTGGGAAAGGCCTGCTTCAGAGAGGCTTGAGAACAACCTGTAAAAGTGACAGCTCATCCCAGAGCAGGAGAAGCATCAAGGAATCCAAACTTAGCAAAGGAAACTCCCCACTCAACAGATGAGTTTTAAAAGTGGGGACAACATCTCCCAGGCTCCTAAAGCCTGCTAATCAGGTGTTTGTATGCAAATAAGTAGAAACAATAACAAGGAAAGATGCTCTCTGTCGTGCCAACACCCCCAGTGAAGGGCTATAAAAGCCCCTGTGATTTAGTTGTCTTCAAACTCAGGTGTACTGAGTTTGCAACTTTCCAGCAAAGGTAGCACCAGCACCATGGCTGACAGCTGTTTTCCTGGAAATGCCATGGCCATTCCAGCTGTGCCCACCATCTCCATATGCCCAAATGGTGGCAACTTCCGAAATGGTATCTGTTTGCCTAGCTCTTGTCGGAATAGGACATGGCAACTGGTCACATGCCAAGAAAACTGTCAGCCAGCCAGCAGTGCTCCAAGTGGCTGTGAACCTGTTCCTTGCCAACCAACCTGCCTTCCAGCAACTTCTTGCATGGGTTTTGTTTGCCAACCCATTTGCTCCTGCAGCGCTTGCTATGAATCCAGCACTGGTCATTCTCCTTGTCTGATTAGCTTGTGCCAGCCTTCCTGCTCGGAATCCACTGGTGGTCAGGCAAAGTGCTGTGACGTCAGCCCCTGCAAACAAAGCTCCCACCAGGAACCTGTGTTCGTGTCCAGATTGTGCCAGGCAGCTTGTAGCCAATCAGTCTGCAGTGACACTAAGTCATGCCAGCCATCCTGCTCTGAGGTAACTTCCTGTCTTGAAACATCTTGTCCACCAACCGTCTGTGCAGCTAGTCCATGCCAGCCAACTTGCTGCCAAGCAGGTTCATGTCAACCCACTGGTGGTGAAGACCAGCCCCGTAAATCAACTTATTACCAACCCATCTGCTACATTTTCAAGACTTGCCAATCGGTTCCCTACATGCCTGCTCCCTGCCAGCCACCGACTTGTGCGTTCAGTTCTTGCAATCCTGCTTGCTGTGTGTCCTCCCCTTGCCAGTCACTGCACTGCCAGCCAGCTTCTTCCATACCTTTCATCTGCCAGCCAGTGGCTAACTGCCAGCCCCCAGCTTCCTGTGGCACCATGCTTTCTGGCCGACCAACGTGTGGCAGACCCACTTCCTGCAACCCCAATGGCTGCAAATCCCCTTCCTACCAACCAGCCTGCTGTGTGACAGGCTTAGGCAGATCATCCAGTGGTGGCTCCAACTGCTTCCAAGCAACACCCCCACATCTCGGCAAAGGCAGCACCTACTTGCCGACTTCCTGCCAACCCAGCCGCGAGTTGTCCAGCTTCTGTAAGGCAACATGTGGTTGATGGAACACTCGTCACACCTCCTCTGAGGTCTGCGGCTGTCTGCAAGTGCATAGACCCCTGCGGGGCATGCCTCTGGCCTAGCACAGACGCTGTCTGCTTGCTAACGTTACTGAGTCCAGCCCCATATGCTCTTTGGGTGCTGATGAGGAAACTTGTCTGGCCACTAGGAGATCCTTCTTAACTGAGGAGGACCTTTCAGCATGGTCCACTCTATAGCCTGCATTTCCTGTTTTCACTTCAGCGAAGTCTTCTTTCCAGTTTTTCTTTTGATGCTGCCCAGCCTTTAAAAAGACTCCTCTGCTGACAACCGCTAATTAAAATGTGACTGGTTAAGCATAATGAGTGCTTTCATTCCTTTCAATATACCCCTTCATAGATTTCCTTCAGGCCACATTTGAACATGATGACCTTGGGTCTACATGGGTCTGCAAGAGCAGCTCTTGTCTAGAATTACAGGTACTCAAGCTGGCTTCCAACCTTTATACCACCAAGAGTTCTTCTGAGTCGAGTGGCCTCAGTTTCCCCACAGTGAATGGATTTAAGAAGTCAAAGACACAAATGGTCCAAGGAAGCCACAGATTAAAATAAACATGAGGTTTCAGCCATGGAAAATAGCTAAGGATTAATTCACTTAAAACTAGTTTAAATGATTAAGTCACCTAATGCCCCATTGAAATAAAATTAAAAACTCTTTAGAAAAATTTGGCAGTTGTTTATTTGCTATGTTTTTGACATTTTAAGAAGCCGTTTTAAAAGCAATTAGTCTAAGGGAACTTCTGACCAAATTCTATATTTCTAGTGTGTAACTACTGAAACGAAACATTTAAAAAATGATTGGGTTGGTTTTCTTTTGGGGAAAGTTTAGAGGAAGATTGAGAGTGTGTACTTGTAGCAATGGTGTAGAGCCCTTCCTCAAGGGGCTCTGGACTCCCCATTAATCAAGGGGCTCCAGGTTTGTAAAATGACATAGGTCTGAAACACCCAAAATTCCCACACAGGTTCATAGGAGGACACATATGAGGATGTTCACTGTGGCATTTCTGCAACAACATAGATTTTTAAGGAAGTCTGTTGTCCACTACTAGGAGAGCAGGTGGGTAACAAGTGGTGATTCCTTCCATGGGGTATTATACGAAGATCGGACAATTAAGTTTGCAAACTTGTTGCAACAATGTTGCTAACTTTTTTGATATCAGAGGGATTATTCATTATGAATTTATACCAACTGGACAAAGAGTTAACCAAGTTTACTATTTGGAAGTGCTGAAAAGGCTGCATGAAAAAGTTAGATGAAAACAACCTGAACTTTTTGCCAACAATTCATGGCTCTTGCATCACGACAATGCACCAGCTCACACGGCACTGTCTGTGAGGGAGTTTTTAGCCAGTAAACAAATAACTGTATTGGAACACCCTCCCTACTCACCTGATCTGGCTCCCAATGACTTCTTTTTTTTACCCAAAGATAAAGGAAATATTGAAAGGAAGATATTTTGATGACATTCAGGACATCAAGGGTAATACAACAACAGTTTTGATGGCCATTCTAGAAAAAGAGTTCCAAAATTGCTTTGAAGGGTGGACTAGGCGCTGGTGTGGGTGTATAGCTTCCCAAGGGGAGTACTTTGAAGGTGACTGTAGTGATATTCAACCATGAGGTACGTAGCACTTTTTCTAGGATGAGTTCCCGAACTTAATTGTCCAACCTCATAGTTGTCTGGTTCTCCAGAGAAACGGAATCAATAGAATGTGTTTGTATGTATGTATGTGTGTATCTATATCTATATCTATATCTATATCCGTATCTATGTCTATAGATATAGTTTATGTTTATATTTTATTTATTTTTTACATCTATCTATCTATCTATCTATCTACCTATCTATCTATCTAAAGGAATTGGTTCACGTGATTATGGAGGCTGGCCAGTCCAAACCTGTGATCTATAGTGTGGGCCCGCATGCTGGAGACCCAGGAGGACCAATGATGAAGATGAAGTCTGCAGGCTCTTTGCTGGAGAATGTGCATTAAACAAAATAAAAACAGCTGCCTGCAGGAGGAGAACGGGACATAAGGAAAACAGGAATTAAGTCAATTCATATGTAAGTACATAAATCAAAAAAATAAAAAAATGAGAGGGAACTTTCAAGGACCAAAAATAATGTGTCACCTAAGGAAGATAATTGACTCAATTATTTACAACTGAAGTCTAAAGTCCAAAAAGAAAATTAAAAAGAGGAAGAAAGGAAGAGAGGGACTTTGGTATCACAGAAGAATTTCCATGGATGAAATGTTTCTAGAAATGACATTTTGATGGGTATCCTATTTAAATTCTCGCTCCCTCGTCTTACATGGACATTTCAGTCATGTTAGATGAAGGATGAGGCTTTGGGAAGTGGGATGCATCTTACCTCAGGCCTGAATAGAATTCTCAACAGTGTTCCTTACATTATAAGTTTAAGGTGTCATCTCTCCTTAAAAAATTTGCATATTGATATCAGAATTTTTGACATACTTTGCAATAGTTTTCTGACTCACCTAAGTCTATCCTGTTCTTTTTACTGTTCCAATTATGGATTTCTCTGTTGTGCTGGCAAATGCTGTCCACTGGCCAACTGCCAACATACAAACTGCACATTTTAAACATGTCAGGTGTAAAAGGTGTGTTGGGGAGCCTTGCATCTTTCCTATGCTTGGCAATAGTTTAAATAAGAGAGCATTTATTGGCTCCTTTTAGGTTTGCTAGGACTTGTCCATAAAACAGCTGAACCTCCCATTATAAACAATGTACTGTCGAGCCTGAACATGCTCATAACTAAATCTTTACTTACATTTATGTCCGGGTAGGAAGCAATTTTAAAAACACAGGGAAGTGTTGAGAAAAATATTACAAACCCCACCACCACCCAGGATCGACATTTTCTTGCATCTGCTTTGGACCTTTAGGAAACGTAAAGTAAAACGTTATTGATAAAGTTGACGTCCCTTTTAGACCCTTTCTGGTGCCATTTACCTTCTTCCTTCTCAGATACAACCCTTCTAGTCACTGTTTGTTAATATAAAAACACAAGCAATAGGTTCTATTTATAAAGCATTTAAACAATATACGGTAAAGTCTTGGATTACGAGTGACTTGGTTTGCGAGTGTTCCACAAGACAAGCAAACATTTCTAATACATTTTAACTTGGTAAATGAGTGATGTCTTGCAATACAAGTAGTTTGTTTCTGGAACAAATTATGCTCACAAACCAAGATACACAGTATTAGGGTTTGGAAATTTAAGAATTTACATTATATAATATAAAATTATGCAATTTATTTTCCCCTTCATTATAGCTTTTAAGAATAAAATTTTTATTAAGAAGTAAGATTTATATTAATAATTAATATAATTAATAATCAATTAATCATTGTAATTAATAATTTATTAATTAAGAATTAATAATAAAATGTATTTTGACAGATGGATGTTTCATTGTATTAGTTATCTATTGCTGCATAACCCATGATCCCAAACTTAGTGGCTAAAAACAACAAGCATTTATTCTCCCACTGTTTCTGTGGGTTAGAAATCCAGGTGTGGCTTAGCTAGGTACCTCTAGCTCAGGGTAGCTGTTGAGGTGTTGGCTGGAGCTGCAGTCATTTCATGGGTTGGCTGGGGAAAGAGTCACTTCTGAGCTCATTCATGCGGCTGATGGCAGGCAACAATTTCTAGCCATTTGTTGACCAGAGATCCTTTCCTTGTCACGTGGGCTTCACCGTACACTGGATGATTGCCCTTTTGGCATGGCAGCTGGATTTTCCCAGAGCAAATGGTCTGGGAGAGAGAGCATGAACAGCTAAACTAGTAGTCACAGTCCCTTGACAGCCTAATTTTGGAAGTGGCATCCCACCACATTCACTATACTTTATTCATTAGAAGCATGTCAGCAAATCCAGCTCGCACTCAGAGGGGACTACACAAAGGCATGAACACTGATGGGGGGTGGTAATTGGAAGTCATCTTAGAAGCTGCCTATCATAGTCTATTTCTTTGGTGCTCCAATGATTCACGTGCTAAATACGTTCCCTCCCTCCTAAGGTCCCCAAATCTCATCTTATACAGCATAAGCTCAAAATCCAGAATCCCATCATTGAAGTCAGGCCCAAGTGTGGATGAATCTCCTTGGGTGGTGCTCCTAGAACACCTTTCTTCTAGATCTGTAGACTAAAACTAAAGAGACAAGTTATCTGGCTCTCACACAGTCAACATGCAATAGTGGGAGGGGGCATAAGATGACTGCTATATGTAATTCTTTTCTAAAAGAGGGAAAAGGAGAAGAATAAAGTAGTTACCAGTCCAATTCTGAAACCTAGTTGGACAAATGTTGGAAGTTCCTTGATTAGGTTTCCATGCCTGGGATTAATTCTCCATGGCTGTTGGTTCTGATCTTTGGATCATCCTTCCTTTTTCATGAAAAATGGCATGGGTTTATCACAGAGCAGCCATCTCAGCCTGTTTTCTGCCAGCGGAATTCTGGGAGTCCAAAGACTTTTCCTCAGACTGCATTGTCTCTGTTCCCCTCTGTTCAAGCTGGAAATGTGTTTGCACATATAATTTGGTGATGTGCGGACCTCAGTTGGAAATATTCAGGAGGCTAGGGGCTAGAATCTCCTGGAGGCTTCTCCACTCATGTGCATGTTGCCTGGGCTGGGATGACTTGAAGTCTGGGCTTAGTGAGGGCTGTCATCCAGTAGGCCTAGATGTAGCATTTCCACATGGCTTGTACTCCTCACAGCTTGATGACTGGCGTTGGAGAGAGACCATCCCAAGAGGAAGCACACAAGCTGGGTCTGCGGCAAGGCTAGCAGCCAAGTGGACTCTGTGAAGGTTTGGCCACAGCAGTTGGACCTACAGCAGTTGGGATGGCAGCCGGCGGTCCTGGAACAGGTGGTCCTGCTGCAGGTGGGCTGGCAGCTGTGGTTGTAGCACAAGTGGGTCATGGTGTCAGCTGTGGTT